CCCCCAATCCTACTTCTTCCCCGCCGACGCCTCGTACATAAGTTATGGCGGTGTCGCAAAGCTGTCTGATTTCGTCTCCCTGAAATATGGAGCAGCAGCAGCGGCAGCCGCGGCACTTCAAAAGCGTCCATACCGCAGACTGACGGCGCAGAGAGCCTCCCCTCCCCGGTCCAGCAAGCCCCATCTGGGGCCCTCTTGGGACCTCTCTCTCCCTCCCCCCCTCTCTCTCTCTCTCTCTCTCTCTCTGTGCACCCGCGGGGGTGCGAGCCGCGGTATCTGATGCGCCGGCCCATTGCCGGCCACGCTCCCCCACTTGAGCGGCGAGATGCCTATCGCGGACGCCGTCCGGGACTCCAACACACGGGGAGGGTGGCGACAGAGCAGCAGGTGGCGCGGTATGACACCTCGGCGACACGTGTCGCACGTATAAGGATCTTAACATCAATTTTTTTCTGGATACTTTGGAGAATGCCGATTCGACTTTCTATAAACAGGGGGAGAATTGAAATATTTCTAGAGAAAAGTTAAACTGCAAGGGGTACACTTAAATTCCTATAAAGCAGTGCTTTGCAGAACTGTATTTAGTACTTATAGATCCTTTGCAATTGCAAAATGATGATTTGCAATTACAAAAGTAATGCTTTGCAATCGCGAAGCAATGAAGCACGCTCCAAAGCATGGCTTTGCAACTGCAAAGTGTCACTTTGCAATTGCAAAGCGTCACTTTGCAATTGCAAAGCGTCACTTTGCAATTGCAAAGCGTCACTTTGCAATTGCAAAGCGTCACTTTGCAATTGCAAAGCATCTCTTTGTAATTAAAAAGCATCACTTTCTAATTATAAAGTATAAACGTCGTACTCGCAAAGGATCTAAATACGTCGCACTTTCTGCAAAGCATTGCTTTGCAGGAATATAACAGTGTAAGTTCGAACTGGGTACGGTAGTCTATGCGCGACACAATGTTGTGCCGCTCGTCGTCACGTGTCGTCACGTCACCGTTACGCATTTTCAGGGCAGTTAGTCGCCTAACCGAACCTGACTGTCGTCAGGCGTGCCAAACGGGCCGCCGCCGCGAGTTGGCGCGCCTGCGATTCATCTGCGGGCGCCACACAAACTCTTGGCATTACAGCCCGTTTAAATATCCGCGCGCTTATTTTATCGTCGTTGTGCCCGGTTGCCCCGCAGTACGTTGTGCCCAGTTTAATATCATATTTAATATCGACGTGGAAACTATGTCGAGACTATATATATATATATACCCCTCCCCCCAACTCCATCCCTCTCCCCCTCCGTCTACTTCTTCCTCCCGAATCTGTTTGATTTCGTTTTTCCGGTACGTCCGCCGCCGCGTTGGCGTTCCGGTCGGCGACAATTAAACAACGGGTGGCCTTTCTCTGTTTGCCGCCTCATCCTACTATTTTCGCGTCGCCTCACCTCCCCCTTCTCTTGTCCCTGTTTCTCTCCTCCTCTTTTCGCCTCGCATTCAATTTCTCGCGTTTTCTTCTCTATTTCGAGCCGTCCTCTCGCGCCTAACGAGTGGCAAACTCACTCAGGCTTGGCGGCGGCGGCGGCGACGTCCTCGCCTGAAATGAGTGGAGAGTAGGAAGGCGGGGGTGTTTTAGTGGGTAGTCCTTTTATTATTATTTTTTGTTTTTCTCTGTGGAATTTTCTCTGGGTTGTTTGTTTAACTCGGGTTTCCTCACGTAAATTGTTCTGGGGCGTTAAATCGATATTTATTTTGTGTTTTTATATTGTTTTCCCCACAAAACGGAAATAGTTGCCTGTAGTTATCCTTATCCATATTCATTCATTTACAACATTAAAGATTTTCATAAATAAGCATTTTCTTTTGAAAATAATTCTTATGATATTAATTTTTTGTTTTTATCATCAACCATACAAACAAGTGAGGAGGGAGTTCGCCACCGGAGTGATGAGCGCGACTCACCGTATAGACCAAACTTGCATTCTATGGGTCCACAAAAACAACACTGTAAAATGGTTGGCGTCATTTAACGCCAAATTATTGGCGTCCTTTAAAGAACGCCAAATATTGGCGTTCTTTTCCGAAAAACGCCAAATATTGGCGTCTTTTAACGCCAAATATTGGCCTTCTTCTCCTTCGAACGCCAAATGTTGGCGTCTCTGAACGCCAACTTCTGGCGTTATCACAGAACGCCAATTCTTTGGCGTTAAAAGACGCCAACCAGTTTAGAGTGAAGCCAGCATAAAAGTGAATGTAAAGGAAGGTATCCTGGACACTTTAGACGACTCACTAGAAGTTATGACATATGGCTTAATCAGTGGCGTTGGTGTTAAGTATCCCTGGGTGGCGCATAGCTACATGACGGAAATACCTCGCGCGGGTACCGAGGTCTTCCCTCGCGGTGGGAAGACGGGGGGGGGGACTGTGTCGCGGCCGCGGTGTGACAACGGCAGCGCTGTGCGGGCTGAGGTGGTGGTGGTGGGGGGGAGGATATGCCTCACAGGCATAATTAGTTCTAATGAGTCGTTGAGCCCACCCCGCCGCCACGCGCCGCCACCCAGATGGCTCTAGCCGCCCCCAGCCCGCCCGCCCCCTGCACTGCTTGCCCCCCGGCCGCCCAGAAGGAGGAAGAAAGGGGTATCACGCACTCTTTGCGTACCCTGTTGCGTTACGGGTCCACTGCACACCGGAAACCCAAGTGTGTTAATATCGCACACTTGTAGACGTGTGAGTGTCATTCATACACATGGAGGCATCACACAAGAGTGTGAATTTCAAAACAAATAGATTTACGCGTAAAAGTGTGCAAGATTCACTCACGCGCGATTCTAGTGTCGATGTCACAATCATCACTTTACCTGTCACGAATAAGTTTTACGAATTAAGGAATTAATTTTTGTTTGCAAATCATGTTTGCAGGTACTACGAGACGGGCAGCTTTAAGGCGGGCGTGATCGGCGGCTCCAAGCCGAAGGTAGCGACGGCCCCCGTCGTGGACTCGATAGCCAACTACAAGAGAGAGAATCCGACCATGTTCGCCTGGGAGATCCGGGACAGACTGCTCGCCGAGGGCATCTGCTCGCAAGACAACGTGCCCTCCGTGTCGTCCATCAACAGGTAAGGCACAGCACACCACACCGGAACCCAATTGTGTGAATGTCGCACTCTTGTCGTACATATGGAGGCACAAGTCTGAATTTCAACGAAAGATATATTCACATATCTACTATATATATCCATCCGCGGTCAGACTTGAGATACCGTTGAGCAGCGCTGTCAACACGCTGAAGGCGTAACGAAAGAATATCACTCCCGTATGTTTTTCAGCTTAACCCAAGTTCTCTCTCTCTCTTTTACTTGAGGGCGGGGCCTGTGTGTGAGCCAGCACGCCCCGCTACGCCCCGCTACGCCTCGCCACGGCTCGCCACGCCCCGCCACGCCCCAGTGCGCAGTGCCGATTGGACGTCCGAACCCCCACCACCGCGCCCAGCGAGGGGCGCTTGGGACGGGGTGCATCGGGGGTGGGGTGAGGCGGGGCGGGGGCGTGGAGTCGGGGTGTTCTCTGTGCCACCGGTCGGTGCGGCCAGCTCCCGTCGGAAATAAATTGAACCGCAATAATTTTTGAGCGGATCAAACCCCAGGGCACGTTTAGCCACACATTTTTCATTTTTGAAAAAAAAGAACACTGTTAGAAAAACGAACGGGGAATGTCTCTGGTGCGCTCCGTAAATTTGCCATTAGGTCCGCGACCGTAATTTTCGCTTACGGGCCACTCCGCTAGCGGTCTACCGTAACTTCACACACGGTCATATTGGTCAATACATCCCTTGACTCACACTTTGAAGTACGGTCCATATCTCTACGGTCACAATTTTAGGCAGTTTTTACCGTGGAAAACGGTCAAATGTCATTTTAAAATGTGGGATGAAAGTCACTCGAAGTGCTACAGTAGTTTTCAAACTGCGCTCTTAGAAGTATAAACAATTTTCAAGATATAACCGTTGTCGGGTTTGTTCTTTTTTTTACGGTGGAGGGGATCAGGGCGACTGAGAGGAATTGAGTTGTTCCTCCCTCTCCGAATCAATCTGGGCTTGGGAGGGGGAGGAGGGGAAGGAGGAAGAGAGAGAGGGGGAGGGTGCGCGGCGAAGTGGGCCTGGACCCGAGCAGGGGCCGCGGAAGTGGGGGGCAAGGGGGGCCAAATGCCCCCCCCAAACTTCGACAGGGGGGGCGAAGCCCCCCCCGTTTTTCCACGCTAAGCGCAGATGTTCTCTAATTTGTGTTCTGAATTCTGTAACGATTGCAGTACACTTACAACTCTAAGTCATTAATAAGATATTAAAATGATGATTTTTTCGCATTAAAATCGGTGTTTCCATTCAAACTCTCAACAAAGTGCACGGTCAGCGAGGCACCATGCATTACCTTATGGTTGCCACAACTCTGAAAAGCCTTGAAAACCTGGAACACTCAGGGAAGTTAAAACCTGTCGGGGAAATCAGGGAAAACTCAGGGAAAAGAGAAAAAAAGTTTGGGAAATGTGATCTGATTGGTCCCTAAACTGCATTGTATTCGCTCTTCAGTTCAAACACACATTTTGACGTCCCAGCAGGGTGTTTTGACCCAAAATTTTTCGCGCTCGCTTCGCTCGCGGTCTTACTTTGCAGTTAGGGGTGTTTTTTTGCCCCCATATTTCACCAGGAACGTTGCTTAAAAGGGGCTGGACAACAGGGGGAATAGAAATTAAGATTTTGTGGCAACCATTTATGTATAGGCGTGTGCACCTGGTAGGTAGGCAACCCACACAACAGGACCCAAGTCGCCCCCCCCGCCGCGAAGCACTTCCGCGGCCCCTGGACCCGAGCGAAACAATGGACATGGGGATTAACTTGTTCGGACTCCGCAGTCTATAAAACTAACGCCTAGTCTAGACCGATTTTCTTACTTGTTGTACTGCTCAAAATATCGTGCACTTTTTCTGTTTTACAATGATGTTTTTGAGAAGCAACGTTTCGAGCTCTCTAGTTGCGATTGGTCGGTATCTCGAAGCTGTGCGCAACGCGAGCGCTCTCCAACTGGCAAACAAAAATAGATGATATGTAGCTAATGTATTTGCAAGTGTTTCATTTCTATGAGTAACGGCGAAGATACACGCGCGAAGTCATTTTCATATTTCAATGGGTCAGAGGGAAGCTTTCGTCGCTTGCAGTTGATAGCAGGTTCCAAGAGGCAGTTTTCGACATTCGATTAGTCCCCCTGCCCATCTGCCGGTACTAGATGTGAAACGACAGTCTCGCTCGGCTGGACAGAAGCGAGCATTTCGCTCGATTTCAGCGACCACATCATCGCAGATGGCGAGTCACTTTGCTCGACTGGTCGTGATACGTACATCAAAACAATTGCCGATTCTTTTCCCCCGTAACCCTTTCCTTTCTTTCCCTCTCTGTTTCCCTCGCATGCTCGGGTGCGTATTGCTACATTTTTTTTTATGACAACGATATAAATGCGCATGACATTATTAGGCAGTAAGGGGTTGTCGTGGACCTGTGGCGCAAATCTGTTTCGGCAAGGATATGATCGTTTTCGAGGGATTGACCGGCGCGACTGCAGCCCTCCATCCACGCTCCCCTCGCCTTATGAGGGGGGTCGTGCGGTCCAGAAAGGCGATCTCCATTATGACCTCGTGAGCGCTGCGCGCGCAGCTTAACGACCGGTGACTTGGACCCACGCCCTGAGGTAGGCATCGTACCTCGCACGGCTGCTGCCCGGTCTCCTCCCCGCGCGGCGGCGCGCCCTCAGATAGGCAACGTGCTTCGCACGGCTGCCGCCCGGTCGCCTACCTGCACGGCGGCGCGCCCTGAGATAGGCAACGTGCCTCGCACGGCTGCCGCCCGGTCGCCTACCCGCACGGCG